TTTTTTTTTTTGTTTCTCGAGTTTGTTTTTGAGAAGCACAATATCTGATTGTTTGCAGACACTCTCTGGCACCGGTTTTGCCTTGGACCGTTGATTGTCGATATAAACAAGGTAGGCTAAGGTGCATCCGAACCGATCAGCTGTTTATTATATGTCTGATTTACGTCATCTTCATAAGCGATTAATGTTGTGTCTCATAAGGAATTTCTTGAACTAAAGAACATGCCTTTTAACTGTTACTGCATATGAAACTGCATTAGAAATATATGATTACTAGTCTCATTCATGTGCATATGCACAATACAAATAAAATATTGTCATGTGTGTGGATATTATATTTATAATCAATATGCACGTCACAACTTATAAATTTGATGGTAAAAATGAATAATATAATTATAAAATATTAGTTATATGTGAATCACTATAAAGATTGCATATAAAGATAGCATAAAATGTAATGAATAACGTGATTTTTACAAAATTTAAGAAACGTGATCAATTAGTTTGTTAAAAAATTGTTATTATTGTTATTACTTTAATTTTAAGTGGTTGGCTTTGCTAATAAAACCAATAAGCTATTAAAAAAAACAACTCAACCAGATACAAATAAAATGATAACGTTAAATTTAATATAAATAATTTTAAGAAAAAGTTTTGCTATCATTTTTTTATATGTAAATGTATAACTTCCATAAACTTTTATTATGAATTTATAATTAGTTAATTTTATTATTACATGATAAATTAGTGCAGTACACGTATGATGCACGAGCTAATTTTATTAAGGTAAACATTTATATTTAGATTATTGGAAGAATGCAAAAACCATGTATAGGAATAGAACAAAATGTAATTAATATATTATTAAATAGAAAACAACATTGTGTAAACCGTATCAAAGAAAATATACACTTAACACTATATATATTAGGATTCTAAATAGGCTTAAGTAAGCATGTTTTAAGTTTAAAAAAAATTCGAACAAGGAAAGTAGTAGCCAAATGATATGAAATTTTTAAATTTTAATTGTCAATTTGAATTTGGCCGATTTCTATGCAATCAGATTTTTTTTAATAAACATGATATGTTGCAATTAGGTAAAGATACAACATATTTTGTCTAATTCGAAATTCTCGATTTTATGGTAAACAATTTTTTAATAAAAAATGAAAGAATTTTGACTTTTATAAACTTGTCATGCCGAATTTTACTTAAATTAACCCGATTTCTATGTAATTAAATTTCTTTTAATAAACAGTTGATCTGTTCCAATTAGTAAAAGTTATATGCGATAGTATTTTGCCTAATTCGAAATTCTTGATCTTGTGGTAATCAATTATTATTTTCAATTAATAAATGAGAAAGAATTTTGACTTTTGCAAAATCTTAAGCATCAGTCGAAATTTACCTAAATCACATCCACAAAACCTATAAATTTAGGGTGCATATATAGTTGCTCGATTTTTTGGGAATAATCCCCCCTATATATTAATACAGAACGCGCTGAGCCTATGTGGCTGCTTCTGGTGCTTCGGAATCCTATGTGGCAAAATTACATGCTTCGTTATTAGGCTTGGGTAAATTTTAATTTAATTCCAAACAAAAAATAATTAGGTTCAGATTACCATAAATATGTTGATTATTTATGGTTATGTTACATGTATTAATTGTATTTTAATATCATTCCTTATTATAACTATTGAACTGTACATATATTTTAAAAGTTCATAACTTTTGTATTTTTTATCAGTTTTACATATGTAATATATCAAATTAATCTTCTTTTGATGAGCTTCGATTTAACATCCATATTGTATGTAT